CTAGAAGCTAACAATGAAATGAAGCGATAAAACGACAGGACATGCCATAAGAATTTAAGTAATTACAAAGATTTCGATAGTGATAGGAGAGCAAAAGTTGTAAGCACATTGTGGCATGTGATTTTTATAGTAATACCATTTACACTGTAGACTAATATAACAATGGAATAATATTCTATTCTTATAACGGATGTTCAATAACTGTTCTGGACAGATCGCTTGTATTCGACAATTGTTACAAAAAACGTATGGCGTCGCAAAAATTATTACACGACAGCTGTCAATCTCCTACTTTTTACCTTGCTGCACACTGATAGAATTTCTCTGCTTTTTACAAATTAAAATCAGTTGACTTAGTGTTTGTGTTTGTTCGTATCTGCGTGTTTTTGTTTGTTTTTGGCATTGGCAGTTGACCTCAAACCATACGAATTGATCAACGGCCATACTTAAACCAAATACTACCGGACGCACGCAGTTTTATAACTAGGTACACACTGCTATAAGGAAGAAGCAACGGATTGTCTAAGTTATAGTGGTTTGTCATTGCAGAGATGGTTAGATACTTAATTAAAAATTCGATTTCCTCACTATCACAAGGAATTCTAATATATCATCGAGACAAAATGAGCACAAATGGGGTCCCACCCCTATCAATAACAGTTGTCAAGATTGAACGTGTGATATAAATCGAATATCCCCAATTTAACTGAAATAATTTATTGTAACTTGTAGCAGTATAGGGTTAGCTTGCTCTAAGGACTGGCGGATGTGGTTAAGGTTAAAGGAAGAGTGTGAGCTGTAAATATTCTCAGTTTTTCAATTGCATAACATGTTTTCCATGTCCACAAATCAGATAGCTTATTTTTATGTTAAATGTCACTATTCATCTTCTTAATTGAACTCGAAGTGACACTCATTGTAAATTTTATGCATTTTCTGACAGAACGCACCGGAAAATGCCTCAAATCCCTTACGATTGGCTGGAACATAGAATCACTGGCAGAACAATTCTATTCATGCTCGCCGACTGGGAAAGTAGGTTCCGAAACATTCGCAGTTCACCGACCATTAAAAGAGGAAAACTCTGGGATCACGATATAAGTTTTCAGAGCACAATACAGCTTCATGGGTAGGTGGTACTTTGAAATACCCCAGAAAATAAATTGTATACACGCTAAAAATCTAAATGAAACCTTCGAGTTCCCTAGAAATCTCTTAGACAGCTTTCCTGATAATTCCAGGTAATACTTCCTAGAGTTTCTTGTGAGAAGAGCCTCACATGCGTGCAACTTGCTCTTCAGAGAAAGCGAATAACGGTCAAAAACGCTAAAGAGCACCTAAAAGGTAGCAAGTTTAGCAGTGAAGCGGACCCTCACCTGCCCCCCTCACCTCACAAGCTACCGCTGGAGAACTTTAAGGAAGTTGTGAATAAGAACCACTTGAAAATAACTTGAAAATTGAGGAGAACTTGAGTCACACTCAAGAAAGAGATCTTGACGGGAGCGTGAAGAACATTTTAGTAGAATTTGAGAAAAAAATTAGGGGGAATTTAAGAAGCTTGAGATTAATAGGGCTTAAAAATGAGTTATTAAATTTAAACGCTTCCCTAATTTTAATAGCATAATGCTGCCATATGACTTTATCATATCTTTGGCAATATACTGTGGGAATTTTATTACTATCAATGCTATATATAATTTGAACAATTATTGCTATTGCAAAATCTGCATCAGACATATACAGGGTACCATCCCTTAACATTTTTATGTGTTTTCAAATTTATTGTCACTATAGTTCCTTGGAAGTTGTTTTTGCAAAACCCGAATTCGTGGTTTCTCCAAAAAAAAACCATCGAGTGTAATCTCCGTCTTATCATTAATGGAAAACAACTTCACGTGTTGATTGTTGAACTTACAATGTCGGTTCACTCTAATTAAAATTTTATGTGTTTTTCAAATTTGTTTGGGGTCATATGCATTTTGTAATACTATTGTAATCTTAAGCGGATTAGACGAGCGAATAGCGCACTTCTTTGAGTATATAACCTTGCAATGAAAGATATAAATCAAAAATTAAATTTAGGTTTAATTAATTATGTATTTCAATAACACTAAAAACTCTTGTCGGCAATTAGATGAAAAGCAACGCAGTTAAATGTAGAATAGTTACAATCAATTTGAATGCAGAAATTACATAACATAATTGTCAGAAATAAAAACTGGCCACGTTCTGCAAAAATTTAATTGCTAATTTGGCAATATATATGGCCTTGTTAACCTATTAAGTAGTGACATTTTGATAAATTCGACTGCATCAAAGTCAATTGAAAAAATTGGATCGCACGAAATATGCAAATAATTAATGATTCAATTGATTTATAAATGATTGCGCTTATTTGTAAGTTTAAGAGAAATTGGTTACATTGAAGTGTGACGGGAACACTGATGGATAAGTATAAATATTTTTTATATCCTGCCCACCAGGAGTTTATTTCTGCACTTGGTTTACAGGTAGTTCAGATTATGAATTTCGAAAATATAAAGGAGTTTATATTGGCTAAACAAATTGAATGGAACGTTTACTGTTAGTTACAGGAAAACATTTCAAACGAACGCGAGCAGTTATAAACCAGCTATTTTCTTCCTTATAACATGTTTTCCCAGTCCCACGTACGTAAAAATTGGCATGGATTTTGACGAAATTTCCGGTACTAAAGGTATTCTTAAATTAGACAGCTGGAAGGAGCTTTCTAAATTACTTAACAATGGAAAACGCATGAATGAGCTCGGGAAACGTAATCTTTCTAATGTCAAAGCAATAAACACTTTATGGCAGCGTGTATATTAAAATTGTGACGGCAAGAAATTGGTCCCTGCGACTATGCAAAAAATTAATGGGATAGACAACTTTGACATTGGCATGAAATAAATCAATGCGATTGTCACCGGTACGTTTCCTTAACAAGCACAAATTGCTTATTAGGATGCGAGGAAAGTGATCGGTTCATAAACGAAGAGCGTGTAACTAAATATAATTGGGCCCGTTTGCAACACAAATCTAACCGACAAACAACACATTATATGCACGCATTCCATAAAGGGAGTGTCATGGTACCCAAATGGAAACCGCCAAAAATTCTCTCACACACTTGACGAATTGTATATTAATTATTGTTACAACATTTTATTAAATAACAATTATGCACTTGCAGACAAAATTGTTATACAAATAGGACAGTAACACACGTGCTCAGCGCGCAGTATGAGCACAGATTTAATAAATCTGTGGTATGAGTTCACTTTGGCGTAGGTACTAATACAATCAGGAAGGTAAAAGGAAATCAACTTTAATATTTTAAAAGGCGTTTTGATTCCTCAAAGGTAGAAGTTTTTATTATTTTGAACCTTTTTGAGTTTTTCAACGGTCACAAACTTGATTTTAAAATCTATTAAAAACAAGTTGTACTTAAATCAGCATATATGATGAAAGCGCATTTTTGGAAATACCGTTGAGTGAAAAGGTAATACAGATCAGTATTTTATTACGAGTTTAAAATTATCGATCTGACGAGTAATCTAACTCAAAATAAACCGATACAACGAAATATTGAAGGATCCTCAGTATTACAATCACTTTTTTAACGACCAGTTATTTTAATCTTACAAAATACATTTTATAGTATGTTAACACGAATGCATACAATTCATGTCTTAAGACATTGAGATAGTGCTCTTAATCTTGTTCCCAATGATGTTGGTGCAGTTAATAGCGATTTTATCAAAATCCAGTGGCCTCAGAAAAAGAATGTTTGAATAACACCCACACAGTTATCAAATGTGCATGTGATGTACTCTTTCAATATCAAGATATTGCGATTGAAAGCTTTTACTCCAACTTCATGAATAAAGAAAAATTTTGGACATATTTTACTCTAAAACTTTTGATCTAGACCACTCAGAAGATTATATTGAATTGTTACACATCTCAGAGTGATGGGGAATAATCTAGCCAAAGTTCCAACTTCATACATGACCTAGGGAATGAAATATGTTGGTTTCTATTATATTGAGGCCGCAGTTTTTCCTGTTCCCGATTCACTTGAAGTCCTATAACTTTTGTTCCTGTTGAACCAGCTCCTGAAAATCAATAGCATCCGTCTTTAAGATCCAAAGTACCCATATACCAACACAATTGGGCACTTTTAAAAAGAGTTATAGCGCACACGGACGGACGGACAATACAAAACCATAAAGAATCTGATGATCCTTAATAACCCAGAACCTGCACATCTACACTATAGCAGAAAGCTTTTAGTGAAAATTTGAAGTCTCTAGCTATCGTATTGCCTGGTCCGAAGACACCCATCCAAGAGGTAATCGCTGAAGAATATACGCACGCCGAGTCACACTTCGTCGCTCAAGACTCTTCATTGCAATGGCTTCTCGAGGTCAACCCGGAAATTCACTCCGTCTTTTCTGGTGCACTCCCAAACCACCCAGTGACATCAACCATCTTCCCGCATTCTCCTAAGAAGAGAACACGCAGATCAATCTTCCTGTACATGATGGTCGGATGCGAAGATATCGTGTTACGACCCGCCAAAGGAGCCTCCTTATAATCAAAAAGTACCATTTCGTATGCCCGCGCACCAAGTACCTAGGTCACTTTATTACACCAAACGGTCTCAATACGGATTCCGCAAAGACCTCCGCCATCGCCGATCTACCAGCTCCCAGGAATCTGAAGCACCTAATGTCCTTCATCCATACCTGTTCCTAGTATAGGTATAGGTCGCGCAGGTCGCAAAACCCCTAACGACCGTAATGAAAAATGACACCCCATGGATATGGGCAACGGAACAAGACGTCGCATTCAATCGATTGAAAACCCTACTTAGCACCGCACCAATACTACGGCAAGCCGAGCCGACCTCGCCCTTGATCATCAGGACCGCTGCCAGCCAACCCGCCCTAGGCGCTGTACTCGGTCAGGGTGAAGGCTCAGACGAACGACCAGTGTAGTATGCCAGCCGCTTGGTCAGTTCCGCCGAGAGGAATTATTCCACCACGGAACGCGAAGCCCTCTCTGTGGTATGGGTACTCACCGAGGCTACGTGGAAGGGGAATCACCCTAGCCACCAACCACCAACCGCTAAAATGGTTCTTCGTCCTCAAGTCACTCACCTGAAAACTCACCAAATGGGCCTTAGCCATCCAGTCCTACAACATCTCGTATTAAAATATACCTATGTACTTGGAAAGCAAAACAGACCAAAATCCGACTCCAGGCATCACCGATTTTCTACACTGGACCAGGGCTACTTTATGTCCCAATAAATATAATAATCATAAAATAATTTTATGTCTTACTAACCTATCATAGCACATTTTATATCTGTGATACGCGGGCATAAAGTACCACTTTATGCCCTAGGGCATTAAGTATCACCATAGTAACTCATTAATACTTAATGACAAAACTAACAAATATTTGCAGGTCATTGAAAATTAGAAACGTCAATTATTAATTGTCAATACCTACTAAATCACAAGATTGGCCTTATTTCGTATAGTTTCTGGAACTTCTTGCTCATTCACGATGAATTGAATTATTTAAAATTACGTTTGACGTTTGGATGGTTTCAATCACATTAACAAATTCGAACCACGCATACTCGATCAAACATAATGAATTATTTTGTAAACGAATTTTGACGAAGAAAACTATTTGTAAAACATAAAATTGTGTATGTACCACGGGCATAAACTGATGTTTATACTCTCGGGCGACTAAAAAGCTCTCGGGCCATAGGCCCTCGAGCTTTTTAACTCGTCGCCCTCGAGAATATAAACATCACTATTATGCCCTTAATACATAAATAACTATTTTTTAAAACATAAAGGAATCATAAACAACATCGAAAAAAGAAGCTTATCATAAAGGTCAAGGTTTGAGGAAAAATACGGCGGAACATAGAAGGTTTGCGTTGGAGACTACCTTGGTTTCAATCCGGAGCCCATAATCTTCTGCTTCATTTTCTTTTTTGTAAACAATATACCAGTAGCCATTTCTAGGAGCGCCGACCCAGCAGCAGCTTAAAGTTGTAATACTTTATAAAACCTCAAACCAGAAACCCGCGTGATTATTATTATTATTATTACCATTACTCGAATCTGATAACCAGAAAAAATGGATTGTAATCGTTGAGGACATCGCTACGAGGGGAATCGAGCTGTTCGCACTCTTGCGGGCTACCTTGTAGTAAATTTCTTAATAACTGTTTCCTACGCGGCGAACTGAGACGCTGCACTTAAAATTACACCGAGAAGAAAATTATAGAGAAAATGAAAATTTGGGGATGCTTTGGTTCCCTCTACACCCAATTTTTTTGACATACTTATTTGTGACACTGACAATTATATATGTGTTATTTACGAACTCCTAGTGAGTTCATAATTTTTTGCGGTGTCTGTCCGTCTGTCAGTTAGCACGATATCTCAAAAACGGATGGGCCGATTACAATGAAATTTTGCCGTTGGATTCTTTATCAAATTTTTATATCGGAGTTCGTGAATGTAGGCCAAAGGAAGATCCTTTTGACATCTCCGTTAGTTATTAACCGAATTGCAATGAGCACAGCCTTAGCCATAAATACGCAATGCCAAGCTATACCGACACTCAAGAGCTCGTTTGCTACATTTGTGTACACATTTATTTATTATTGTATTTTATATTCCATTTCTATATAAGAAACACTCAAAGAAAATAAAATATATAAAGAGATTTAATTACTACATGAAAAAAGAATGCCATTGCAAACTATCAATTCATTAATTTTTTACAGAATAAGCACTAGTAAATAAAGTAGAATTGATGTATGACCGCGACAGTTAAAAAACTATTTATTTGGTGCCATGTTTTAGAATAGATTTGACAGTCTACAAATCATAAATGCTCTCAAAATTGTCACAGTGTTTAGAAATACCTACTATTAAAATAATTACGTAAAAAAATATGTACTGGTACTTTGTTAGGAATACATAAATGAATAAGCCATTGGTTTTTTCGCACCGTCTTTCCATATGCAAGGTTAATTAGCCACTTCACTTTTCCCTTAGAAAGAAAACTATTTTTTCTGACTAAATGACATACGAGGTTACGAAGTTATCTAGTAATGAGGTATTAAATCAGAGTATTGTGGGATAAAAATTGTAGACAATGTAATCAAGTATGACATAAATTTAAATTTGTTAGGAACTACCGATTGTTCTAAATGGACTTAGGATTAATAATCTTCATTCCCACATTTTTTTACTAACAGTGCAGAAGATCATAAATCACATCAGGGCTTGTTAATTAATTTAGAAATAATTAAAATAAACAATTATGTATATAGAAATGCCTTATTAGCGTTACCGATAACCTTCAATGTGTTAATTTTGTTATTATTTTAATGTGCCACCGAAATGGTATGTGACTTCAAAAGGATAATCAATCACTGTTCTTAGATCAGGGAACAAATTTAGAACAAAGTAGCCGACTTACTTAGTATCAATTATTACGTCCTTCAATTGAGCCTTTCGTAAATTAATTCTTTTGGAAAAAATCGCACCTCCTTAATTTGATGTTAGTTATGAAAGGAAATGATGATTTTTAGTCTCTAAAAGTGGTGACATTCACTTCACTTATCTTATCTCAGTGACATAAATAATTATTTATGTTAAAAGTATAATAATAATTTTCCCATATCAAATTGAGGCTAAGGAATGTGGGGAATTGCACCTGAATACTGAACATTCTTATGAAATCACACCTTAATAATAGAAATTGGCTGTAATTGTTGATGATTATTTACAGTCCAATTATATATTGATCAATCGCCAAAAATTACCTGTTGGTAAATATGAGCGCAAGTCACTCATCTTGTAACATTTCGCTTGGCAAATTCTGTGGTGAGTAGAGATATGTAAAGTCTTTTAGAAAATTTCGAAGGTTTGGTATATTTTTGTGCGCATTGTCTTCGGTCAAAATTACCAAAATATATGCGACTGTTGTTTACATTTATTAGCGCAATTATAATTACTCATCACCCTCAATAAAAACATGACATTATGTGATGCACACCGTTTACTGTAGAGGTAGCATCATTGACTATTAAGTAATAACCCCCATTATAGTCAATGGTAGCATTGATAATAATTATGCTACCGCTAAGCGAATCTACTCCAAAGCTCAAATTAGTTTAACCAGTCAAAAAGGAGGATGTAAAGGAAGATCTTTCATGTTTCAGCTAACGTTATCTGATAGATAACCTGTTATGTAAACCGTAAACGCATGTGCTTCCACGAAAATTAACTGCCAAATAAATGAAGCATGTAAGACCGGCCCGAAATATATAAAAACAATCAGCAGTCACCACGTTATTTATATAAAAGTGATATTTTTTGCATTTGGCGTTGATTCTGAGGAGACACAAACGAATTTGAAGGTGACATCAGTTAGAACACAATAAATGAACATATTTGGGTCAAAATTGCTAGGGGATAAACATTTGCTGTTCGATTACAATTTCAGGAAAAATTTCTGTCGTAAAAATAATTACTTCAAACAATTACCATTCCTAGTAAAAAAAATAATTGCTAGCATAACAAAGACGATAGCAATTACTATCGTCACTAAGCTATTTTAATACGAGTCTATCCATTTTCTCGCTAATCATCCCCCTGTCGTAAGCTTCAAAGGTGCCGAGGTGAAAGTCAGAAGTGGAACATTCAACACCAACGTAGCGTCGAAAATATGCAGATTGCAGATGTTCCAATTTAAAGATAACAACACATGTGTGATTAACCTCCAAATGGCATTTCTGCAACATTCTAAATACGATCCACAAAACTAAAAATACCCGTTTTGCATTTTAATTTTCGTGAGCTGAAATGAATATGTAGGCGCCCGAGACATTTATTACTTCTTAAAAACGTGCTCTATAAACAAAATGTAAAATTAACCCCTTTAAATTGAAATTTCGAAATGTAATAGTCACAGTTTACTCAGCGAATAACTCAATAAGTTTTTTTTTGCGTCGGACCCGTAATTAGGTTTATGTGTCTTTACCATGTTGGTATGGTCGTGTTCTTTTTGCCAATTATGCATACATATAAACATTAATTAAACGCTGTATTTGTAACAAAAGACTATTAATTCAAATGAACGTTGACATGCTCACGTGCTCCCAATATTCATAAAACTAATTTTAACACATACTTAATTGATTTATAAAGGCGTTCCTGAAATTTTTCAATGAATCAATTTATATTTTAAAATTGCAAAAGAATGTAAGCTTGATTTATAAATAGTAGGTAGTGGCACATGCAGCAAAATTGTTCTTTATTTATGACTTTGTGATTTACTGCATTTGATCTGGGTCCTATTTTACGACTACCCAGAGCATGAATGAGAAAGATGCCCTCCAAAAATGAGCTGATAGTTGCGCTATCCCTATTGAGAGGTGGTGTAGTGATTAACCTTACACAAAAGAGGAGGATGATAAACGAAGATTAATCATTGTTTCGGATGATGTATTGTGTTATTTAATACTCATTAAATATTAAACGAAAATTACTTACATTCATACATGGCGAGGCCGTTAACAACGTAAAATGAGTAAAAGGATGTAGGTGTGTTATAAACACTATTCAAAATTGTTAAGTTATAAATTTGAAAAAAGTAGATAATGCAAAATAGATTGAAAATAGACTGGAACAAACTATTTCGAATTATAGTTCGTGAAGATGATACAGAAGGCCAACTTAGAAAGGAAAATAAGCCCTTGGGAAACCCAAATTAGTAATAAATCTTCAACCACTTTAGATATCGGAGTAAATAAAGCAAAAATTTAGAACAATAAAAAATCATTTCTGGAAGCACTGCTATCAACTTTTAGATATGTTAGTATGTCCAGCAACCAAATATTTGAAGAATTATTTGGTGATATCAAATCAGACTTTGGACTTATCGTTTCTTTCCTTACTTATAATACTTATAATCGTATAACTACATGGTTCAACAAAAAATATTAGAAATGGGAAAATGAGTTATAAACGTTAGGTTGGCACTTGGTTGGCCAACTAGAAGATTAAAAATCTTTCAAATTTTATTAGTTGGACCTTTTTGAGCTTAATGATATGAGATTGTTTGATATTTGTAGAGGATCTAGTGATGGATGTGTGGGGGTCTTGAAAACAACCAAATTTTGTTGGTTTATTAGATGTTATAAACTATAAAAGTTTAACATTTGAAAAAAATCCATGATTTAAAAACACTAAAAAATTCACGGAAAACACTCAATGGAAATTCATTGTCAGATAAAGTTTGAGACAAGAAAAATCGATCTTCGGTATTGCTCCCCATATTTTGAGTATTATAATATAATTAATTGGGAAACTTTATATCTATTAGGAAATAGTCAATATCATTGCTTCAATGAACGATAAACGAATGTCCTTGCTTACTTAAGCGTGCTTGCAGATAAATTTTGCGAATCTCATTTCCGAAGTTACTTTTGCAATCATTAAATTTTCATTCTTTATTAATGCACATTCTTGCAGATTTTTATTAGGATTCAAGAATCTTCTTAGTTAAAAATTTGAGATTACTTTTAATTTTGAAAGACATTTTCACTTTGACAGGTGCATGTATTACCTGGCCTGATTAATTAAAATGCTATTCAAACTACCTACATTAATATTCATTGGAAATTAACACATTCCAATAAAAAAATCACGGGAAAATACAAACAAAACAATTACAGTTTACATATTCTCAATCGGGACAAGTTATTTTCCTTTTCTTTCAAAATATACAAACAGGGAAATCCATTAAAAAATATTAACTAAGTAGCATAAGTAGGTATTTCGAGGAACTAGTTTATCAATCACGTCAAAGAATGAAGTCTGGTTGGACGTCTGTCCGTCCATCCGTTCGCTTTATAACGGAAAAAACAATAACATATAGTGTTCAAATTTAACACAGCCGATTTTTTAAGGAAGTAGGGATTACAATTTGGGCTTAGGTCAACTGTCTGAGACAGGACGGTGCAAAATGCATCCTCACGTCACGTCTCGATAACCAGATGTTCAATTGTTTTATTATTTGACTGGTATTTGCACTAAAAGTGTTGACCTCATCAATTGAAATATCTCGTCCTGACGTTCACTTGCCTTTTATGTGTACCCTCATTTTCAAGACATTCGCTTCGACTTCACCAATAGATATGTCTCGTCCATACGTTTCATTTTGCCTTTGAGAGTACTTTCCTCCGATAAACCGTTTTCGATATATTCGCTCTTAAAGTTCTGACATAAACAATGGATATATTTCTTCCAGGCATCCCAATCACTCTTTGTGAGTACCGTCCGATAAGCTGTTCGTGAGATATAAGAAATTATATCCCATCACGGTAAGGGGTCGAGGAGGAGGACTATGGGTGATAGAAATTAATTCCTTTCGTAGAAACCTTTTTAGCGTACCATGAAGAATAAAACCAGCCCCCAACCCCCTCTTTTCATAAGGGGTCGGAAAGAAGGGTGGTCGTTGATAGAAAACATTCTACTTTATGCAAATGAACATATGACAGTTTCGCAGCACGCCATTCATTCAGTTGATGTCGTAGCGTGGTCTCGTTCGAGAGAGCGGACTACAAAATTTGTCCCGAGTCCGGACCGAGTCCCGACACAGTTCAATTGCCACCATATACGTTGGAACAAGTGACGAGGCATACTTTTCGAGCGGATATTGTGGGTACGACACGTTTTCATTGTACCTAGTAATTTGTAGCTCATCATATAAATTCAATTACGACTAATGTTTTGGGAATTTTCGTAGTTTTATTATTATTTTTTTTTGAAGTTTTTAAGAAAAAGTATTTAATTACAAAGTTAAAAATTTTTAAAGATCAAATATTCATAACAAATAATAAATTTCTTCCATAGGGATCGCAGTTGGAAGCGTCCCCATTACACTTGCCGCATTGCCACGTTGTATAGCAATACTGATTTTTTGTCTTAAATAACTAGTAGCTCGAGGTTCTCCAGTAATACTGGCAATACGTTTTCCTAAACACTCCACAAAATTACGAGCCTCTCTGCACCAAGGTCCCAAAGTCTCTACTGCGAAAGGTATAAAAATATGGTTCTGTTCTATAATTGAACAATATTTCCTTATTTTTATACCTGCCGCAGATTCAGCTACTGCACCACCCGTTTTACTTGATAAATTAACATGGGATGGTGCTAGACTGTCGGTGCATGTGGCATCCCAAACTAGCATTTGTCCTTTGGTCCAAGGCACAAGGGTCATTCCATCAGGACGTTTATTGTCGTCACGTCTTAGGCCTACAGGTTCCAACATAGCAGGGTATTTTGCCGATGCAAGTGAACGATGTATTATTTCATTCAAAGATGAGTGTCGAGAATGTCGACCTGCGCTCATCGAGCAAGATAGTCCGTGTATTCCACTGCTGTCTACTTGCGTACCACAAATGCAAGTATGAGGAACGCAAATGTTTGTTCCAAGGCGTAAGCTGATGGAAATACGAAACGTATTGTTGTCCAATAACAATCCAATGGTTTTAGAGGGAAGTGTATTTAACCATATGTTAGATTCTGGAACCGCCGAAGCTTTATATCTCGCGATATCGAGTTCACTTGTCAGTGTCATAGATCTTACTACACGTTCAACGTTGATCAAGTCCCAATTTCTTTGAACGGAAGGTATAGATGGTATTGTTAGTTCTTCTTTATTAAAGCTATTGGAACTTTGCTGTAATGTTTTCCAGAAGTTCAAAGCTTCATCGTAAAAAGGAATATCAACCTTAACTGTTATAGATTTATGTAACATGTCACAAATAAGGTCGTAAACTCTATTTACTGAAGCCAAAAAAGCTGGTATTGCTAAATCACTTGCTTTCCTCACACCTAATCCACCGACATTGACAGGTAGGGATGTTAAAATCCATTTTTGCTCTGATAAAGTTGTGTTTAGTAACGTTTCTAGAGTTGATCTGATTTCAAATCAAAAGAGTGCAGGATTTCCTCAAAATTCCACGTCGGGGTAGTGCGTAGAAGATATGTTAATCTTGGTATAGCAAAGCAGTGTCTCAGTAGATAGAAAGCAATATAATAGCTATTCAAGCTAGGTAACCGGGCAAACAAAATCTTCATTTCCTCTAGTTTAGTGTTTAAACAGCACATTGCTGCTTTCGATGTCAATGGGGCTCCTAATAGTGTAAGATTGTCTTTCGTGATACTTCGGATTCCTGGAGATAATAATTGAAACCTCTTTAAAACTTCTTCGTCGGTATCAGACATAAAATGTAATTCACATTTTGAAGGATTGATTTCAAGTCCTATCTTTCTAGATTCATGAATTATCTGGGCAAAGTCAGAAAGAACTGATGCTGAATCTCCGGCTAAGGTCCCATCATCAAGATACCAAACATTAAGTTCTGAAATTAGTGAGTTTATAATGGGATGAATCGATAATGAAAAAGCCATGGGTCCTATTGGATCACCCTGTTGACAGCCAACTTGACTGTTAATTACTTCAGGCCCAAAAAATAGTTTTGATGGAGTAGCGTAGCACTGCCAGAGGTAATGATATAGCTCCGAAGTCTTAGCTTGTATAGCAGCTAACATTGTGTCGCGTTCTACCGAATTAAATGCGTTCTTAAAATCAATTTTCAAAAGCACTTTGTTTGTATGTTGATTTGATTTTAGAAACGTTCTTACAGTGTGAACGGCAGCTTCGCAACCTCCTTTTGTGCCAAACCCCAACTGTGTAGGCCGAAAGTGTTCTCCAATTCTTTGCTGAACTGCTTTACATGCGAGCTTGGCTGACAGACGACGAAGTGGATTACCTACAGCTATTGGATGAATTCCTCCATCTTTCTTATTTAACGCGCACAAAGAGGCACCGTGGAGAATTGGCAGAATATATTCATTGACATCTCCTCGTAATATTAAATTGCATAGCTCTGTTATAGTACACAATAATTTCCTTCCGGATTCGCCATTTCCGTAAGATATCAAATCCTTTAAAACCTGTGGTGCTAAACCATCAATTCCTGATGCTGATCCATTTGGAAATGATCTAATAGCTTTAGAAACGTCTTCTTCGGACACTATCAGGCACGTTTCAGCTGAGGAAGGTGGCATAGGAAAAGTAAGATTTCGTGATGGAGCTGGATGTTTATCTTGAAGTTGTTGAATGGTGGCTGCATCGTGTTTAGCAAGTGAATCGGTTGATGAAAGTAGTTTTACAGCCCCTTTTACATCACCATCTGCAACTTTGGCTTCCACGCGTTTAACGATATTAGACTTATTTGGTATAATTGTTGCTTTTACAGTACTTTCATTGAAAGACGTGACTTTTTTTTAACTAATGAGGTCAGAGACTTCAACTTTGTTGTACGTTTTGGGACCTGAAGAGCGATGTAGGAGAAAGTCATCAAATCTTCCCAAGATTTTATTTATTATTTATTGTTCCTGTCTTGTCCTGGACACTCAACAGGCTTTCGCTCAATACAAAGGGACACGCGCAATGCTTTTTAGAAGGTTTTAAGTTGTTTTATACTACTCCGGAATTTACCTTACGAATTGGGAAAACTGCAGGAAAACCTAATTCGGAGTAGCCGGAGGAATGCTCGAAACTGATCTCAGGAAATTCTCGCCTCTGCCATAGATGAAAAATTCTTACCTCAGTCCAGGTTGGAGCACCCGACCTCCCGGCTATGTGGCCCAACGCTCTACCACTGAGCTACACAGTCAATTATGTTAGGGGAAACCGGGAAGGTTGCAGATTAGTACAGGCGTTAAAACAAGTTATAGCATATTATACTTTTCGATGCTTAGTAGTTAGGGTGGATCTTTCCATAGTAGCTTTGATTTGTGATTCAGGGTGCTTATTTAATTTAGATTATCGTGTAGATTTCGTGTACGTAGTTGGAACTTTCCACAAGTAGTTTATATTTTAACAATTTGTAGGAAGGTGATTGCAAAATTCAATTATAATGTGATCAGCTTTTACGATGGGTCAGGGAGTCTTGTTTGTTTTATATGGGGGAGTAATATATTTCTTGGATTTGTTTGCAGTAGTATATTTCCATCGCCTTATTTTGCCAAATGTGGTACTTTTTTAAAACTCCTGAATATTTGAATATAGGAATACTGTTATGTGATAGGTCTATGCAAATTCATTTTAATTATACCCCTGTATGTAGGTCATATCTTAGCCAAATGCGGGCGCCTGAGCTCAAACCACGAAAATAAACTCTGAACATACCCAACAATGGGACAGGTTATGTCCTGCCCAAAATTGCAGGCGCCATACCGATCCACATTTTTTGTACCGTGAGAGGTCTAGGTGTGAATGTCGAGTTCCGTTACATAACAGTCGGAATAACATCATTTCCGTGAAAGAGGGTGCCACAATATGGAAGTAGCTCTTTTTTCCTTCCATATAGTAAATGAAGTCCCTAGAGTTATTCTTGGGTGCTTAAGAGAGAGCAACCGTGATTTGGATTTGATTGTTTTTCTTTTTGTAATTAAGTTTACTCTCCTCATTTTTTGCATTTTTTTTTGTTGGTCGATCCTCAGAGCGACACACACACACATCCTCGAGCAACTCGTTTCCCAAAACAACGTAGATCCTACAATTAGACAGGTTTGTTACTTGATATGCATATGCCATGGATTTCAGTTAGTTTTGGTTAAAGTTTTGATTATTTGTTTTGAGTTGCGCGGTCGCTTACCGACTGGACTTGGGTTATTATAGAATTTTTGGGGCAGTGACCAGGATTTGACCTTAGTTCGTTACAGAGCATTATTTCAAATTGTGCTATTGCCACGTTACCACTTGTAGAGTAAGGGAAGTTTCTTGGAAGAGCAGACCATGCCAATGGTTATTATTTTTAAAAGTTATGAAAACTATCTAAAATACCTCATTTCTTCACTATGCACCACGATGGCGCTGTTATTACAGGCTACAAAATATTAAAGAATCCAAATCCAAATATAATACCGAAAGTGTAAAAGAAGTTTGTGCCCAAAAGAGAAATTTGAAAGGAAATTTTGGTACAAAGAAGGAATTTCGAAGTATTTCACAAATGTTCCTGGTATTTTGAGTGTTCCGACATTTATGTTTAGAAAATCTACATATTTTGCGAATTTTAATAGAAGTTTCACCCTGGTTGAACAGAAGAAAAATAATAAATGCTTAATTTGTCTACTTGCAAATTGCACCAACTGAAAAAATAGTGCACACATCGCGTTCAACGACAAGCTGAGTCGAGTATTATATGGGAAACTAATGAGAATGCATTTATGAAAAGTTACTTATTATACAAGGCGATTCAATTTGTGGAAATAGTCGAATTTGTTTCCCACATGATAATCCACTCAACCGTAAAGACAGATTCTAAGATCCTCGCAAGTACGAGGTTTCAACAAAACCAAAGGTAAAGTTTTTAGAATAGAGGATCGGGCCCTTCAAACTCTTTTTGGTCGACCTAAATGCCCTCCCATATAACTTTGGGAGGTAACGTTCTTGGTTCTAGGGATTTTATTGTTTAAACCGCATTCATTTAAAAATCTAATCGCACTTTCCGCAAGGAATGTAGTCTCTGATTCCGACAAATTCGTTCTTCATTATAATAAAACCCTGGGACCTTATATAAGTGCAATTTATAAAACGTCATTTATAATAAGCGTAACAGTTGTTATATAACCTTCAGGTGTAACAACTACGACAATCCCAATCCAATATACACGGTCAAGAACGCAACAAATAACTTCGAAATTTTATCGCATCGAGCAAAAATTAGATCAAGGCGACAGTTTAGATAAAGCAAGTTTCGGACTTTTCCAGAGAATGTGCATTAAAATATCTTTCTATTTAAAGAGCGTTAATTAATAGATATTCTTTTGTAGACGACGTCAGATAAACAGAATTCCCGTGCCCTTGAACTAGAAAGAGGCCAATAAAAAACTCGTAAACATAAACAGTTCGAAACAATTGGCAACATCACCTCCACTTTTGAAAGAATTCTACTTAGTCGGACAGCCTCGATTTGATATGGCGCTAAATTATGTTATAAACATTACGACATGGTTGAAATTTGCACATACGGTAAATTCAGATTTCAGCTCTTAAGAGGTAGGTCATGGGTACTACTACAATTTACGTTTTTCGATGGATTACGTAAACAGTTCCTATTTCTCTAGGCGGCGGTTGTAAATAAACAAATATGTGCCAGCTGAATGTTTACTATATTTTAATTCATTAGACTCACGTTTAGGCGCCGCGCCAGGTGACATTTTTATTAGAATTCTTCTTTGGACAGATCACGAATGGATTAGACTTATTCTTGTATTTAGCCTTTTGTTATCTTGATACCTAGACCTGGCTGCAGAAAGTTCAAGGAGAAAATTGCGTCATTAAGTATGTAAATCAAAATCATTGTCATTCAAAGATTAATTAGAGCAATTTTCCGCTTTTAATGTCTTCATAAAGAATTTACAATTTATGGATACGTAATTATTACTAACAAATAACAATATGTCCCATAAAATGACAAAGCTAGGGTTTTTTGATTTCGTCTGAAAGATTCTATGAACTTTGAACGTGAATATGAAACGCGCTGCTGTGCGATTACTAAAAAAATTGCAAAATAAACGACTTCAGTTTTATGACCCACAATACTGAACTTGTGTAAGTTCTATAAATACATTTTTTATTTCTCAGGTACAGTTCGGAATGCGCCACCGAAAAGTCCAATTTTAGTTAAAGAGCTCCTTTTTCATACAGGCCCAACAGACACAACTCTTGTAATCGGCGTAATAAAAAATAGTTAATATCTAATTACCAATTATTTAACCTTCGCCTATTTTTAACGTTATTTTATACATAAATGTTGCAATCGCACTAGCTAAGGTCCAAATAGTAAATTGGGAAAAAATTCCTTCCTCACTTTCATAAATTAACGCAAGTCTCAAGAGGGGAGTTTAAATATATTTCGATTGTCGCCGGAATTGATTTTAAGTGGTTTTTTATATATTGACAATTAATGGAATTGAAACAAAATAATCACAAACAGATGACAATTAATGAAGGAGTTGACCTAAAATGTGCAAATTCCGATGGTAGTAGATTTAAAAGGCGATCACTTTTGGGTATTAATAGTCGCGATTTACTATTCTATAAAACATACAGAAAGAGCACTTACTTGTAAAGGTGTAAAACTAAAAAACAATAGGTACAGAGTCCTAATCACAAGTGGTCGTCGAACAGCACAACTACAATCGGCTTCTGCTGAACCGCATGTAGTAGCAACTCTTAACTGTTGAATAGTGTGACTCCGTATCCCTACTTATCTCTTGTGATAAAAATAAACAGGGAATTTATTCAGATTTCGAGATTCATTATCATTAAGAACTAATATACGTAATTTACAACAGTATTTACATAATATCGCTGATATTACACATCAAATCTAAGCTATGATTTCTGACGTAGACTGATTGAATGTACACTTTTAATACACGTTATGTAGATTATCTATATTTTCAATGCAAATAAGTGAATGTGAAGATTGACATTTTGAAATACATCGGAATATTTTATCCTGGGTCTTTCTTCCAATAACTGCATCAGCCCAAACGGTTTGTGTTTTACCAGTTTTAACGCTAAAACAGCGAAAGGAAAAAAATACATTTTTCCAACAATAAAGTATTCATTTAGTGTATTGAATTTCATCATTAATTAATATTTTAATCGGAAGGGCGAATAAAATGTTTATAGCACGGATTTATTCACACTGTTTTTGACAACACGAATAAAATACCTTTGAATTTTTGGTTGGTATGGTTTGTGTGCGTTTGAAATGGCAAACAACCAGAAGAAAGTCAGAAATCACAAGATGTAAACGACACTGGGGTTGCAGTATCATAGTTATAGCCAGAAAAACCTAAATTATTTTACAAAAAGGAGTACAAAACGTTTTGTAAATGGAAGGCAATAATAAGTGTGAGCTGAGAAGTGCTAGTGTATATATTGGAAAAATCGAAGAAAGTAAAGTTTTCCATCTTGTTGTCTTGTTACTGCATACTTACCGTATGCTCAGCCAACGCTTCTCATAAATAAAAAGATTGATGTAACCAAGTACGTAAAGCTAAAAAGTTAAATTAGCTATTGCAGGTTTTCAAGGCTTAAATAAAAGGAAAATCTTCAAATTCAAAAGAGCCGAGAACCTTCGAAAAACCGGCAGTTATGCATGAAGGTAAGAATTTTTACAATCATCCTTAAAATACTTGTCTTATTTTTCATACTCAATTCTGGCTGTAGCTGGAGGATGTAGAATTGACGAACTACACAAAATGTAAGTTCACGATATTGATGAGAAGGTATCTGCTCTAATAATTCGCTTCCCGACAGTAAAACAAATGAGAAACGCACATTTACAGTTATCAATAAAGATTGGAAAGTTGAGTTACAAAAATTTACGTCCACAACATCATGTGCCAGACAGCAATTTTTTTTTGTTATCGGAATCAAAAGTGCATAATACACCCTACTGGCATCAACACTTTTGCAAAATTTCACAAATGATTTATACATCTATAACTTTATCAATTATCAATTTTATTGTTACCTTTGGACAATGGATTAACATTGTGTAAGGGCTAGTCAAGATAGTAAAAGAACTAGATTACATAGTTACATAGTACAAGGTTAAATTAATTGGCTAATAAATTTATTTGCAGATGTTTACGAAATCATCGATTTTATAGATTGCATTTTGTACTAATAACTTTTTTAATTTCCACCTGAATTCCCTGAAAGTCTTTATATTTTTCATGGTGCTGGGTAGGTTCGTTCTGAGGCAGAAGGTCACCATGGACTTGGGTGGTTTGGGTTGATTTGCATTTTATATAAATCAAATCAAATTTTGCTTGTTTATGAATTTGTTAACAACGTCATAAACTCACAACTTAGATCGTCACAGTTTCCATAATCTGAGACCCCCTGGATAGGATGTTGATAATTTGTGCACATACCTTCTATTTACCCCGTTTGTTTAAATGGAGCCCATGTTGAGTGAAGTGCTTTCTTGTAAGGAAGGAAATGCCACTGCCACACAATACACTGCTTACGAAGCACCACTTCCAAGCACCTGCTGTTTAATAACTTACTGTTACGAAGTTGAAAGACGGGAAATTTCGTGTTATAGGTAAACACAATATCTTGCATTATAACGTAAAATTTTGCATTAAAGCACAATATTTTGTGATATAACGAGAATTTTTGTGTTATATCGCAAAATTTCGTCCTATAGCGCAAAATTTTGTATCGTAACGCAACATTTTGTGTTATAATACAAAATTTTGCGTTGGAATGTATAGGAAACAAAAAAAGAATACGGTGTCCCTTAGACGCCTTCGTAGATTTAGGCTCTGTTTGTCTTTTTTAGTTAGCTTAAATGAGTTCCTTTATTTAAATGCGTTTGATTGTAGTGTACTTTTTCCGGTCATTATTTTGTATAATCTTTTTCCATTGCCTACCTACCAAGTTCACAGTGTTTTAAGTTGAAACAGAAGAGAAAGTGATTGGGTAATACAAAAATATGTTTTGTTATAGTTTATAATGTTTAGTTTTAATCTCTTTTTTGTTTGAGTGTGAAAGGGATTACGTATCATTTATAACTGTCGATACGGTAAATATTTACATTATGCAATATGATTAAAATCCGTGAAGTCAATGTCATTGACTTCTTTCAACATGTCGAAGCATCTAAAGGTGTTTGTACTAAAATAGCCGATAAGATAAGTAGAACAAAAAATTTACCCAAAAGGTGGTTTATATTAGGTATGTATCTGTCGTGATAAAAAGATGATTCAACTCACTTCGTAAACAAGAGAATAGTAATTTCGCATAATAATGAGCAATGACTATTTATATTTGATCAAAATATTTTGACTGCAGTTTGTGAATCATCGCGAATGAGATAATATTTTTTACTTGTATGGCGAATATTTCTGAATCACTTCTCATTTTCGCTCAAACATTAGAAAAATGCGTCAGTTTGGTGATCTGTTCCTCCGAAAAGTTAATATATGGAGAATTGGGTAATTTTCCTTGAAAATATTAGCAATGTGATCGTATGGGTAACTCATTTTTTTTTATTAGGTATAGTATCGCGAATGACACATGTTAATTAATATGACTTCGTTAACTTTTTGTGAATATTAACAACGGAAAAACGATGGTATCAATATCAACTTTTATTACTTTTTGTTAGGCGCCACCGCCACCGTCAAAATAGATACTCGTCTGTTCATTTGCCTTGTTAATGGAATGTCGTTTTACCTTTTAATTATATGAAGATCGGTGTGACTGGTAAGAATAATTAACCATGAAATAAATATAGCCATTGAATAAAAACACTATGTCATTGAGTGAAAATAATGTATACCTGAGAGACATTCTTAAATATTTACAAATATCGTAGATGTGAAATGAAATGGTGTCGTTGTAGAGTGTATAGGTAGAGGCATTGAATTTATAACTATCAGAAGCGCAGGTTAAATGGCAGGATATGTGACTGTTTTCAATAGTTTAAATTACAAGACGTAGATGTCTCTACCATCGAGAAAGATGAATAATAATGTCAGTTTTTTTACCTTTGTTAATTATTATACAGGAATCTGTAATGAACCCACTATCTCGATTTGTAATTGTTGTATACAGAATTCTAGATACCCAAGAAACGTACTTATAAGGCATTTATGTGGCACACAGGATGTTGAATGACGTAAGATAAACATTCTTCCTTTCATGAATCGTGACCTTACTTAACATTCCTTAAGGAAGATTGAATTACATTTGAACAGGAAAGCAAAAAATACGCAGGCATCCTTGATCACTGTAACAGAAATTAAATGTACCTACCTATCGCTATCTATTCTTAATTTTTGTGTGTGTCGGTTAAACCGTTGCCACCGGTTAAACTACCTAGGACAGGGGTCGGAAACCTATTGAAACGGAAGAGCTAAAAATTACAATTTACAAAATTTCCCAATTCTTAAAGAGCCACAAATAATTTTTGATTCAATATTATAGTTTTTGGCTATATACAGGGTCCTGCAACAGTCCGTCGGTTTTTCCTACATAGCTGATAGATACCTGGTAAAAATATTGGTGGTTGCGGATCTACAGAAATTATTTTTGAATGTACAGAGTGTTCCATTTTTACGATGTCAATTAATAACTGATCTTTTTAAATAGAACATCCTGAATATTTGGTTGTTTCAATGCCGTTTGTTCAAAGTGCTATAACTATTCTTTTTCAAATGGAACTACCACTATTTTATTTCGCTATTCGCTTTTGTCTTCTCTTAAATGTTTATAAGGGGTACCCTGTGCTTAAACTCCGCAGTGTTTAGGTTATTCAATATTTTTCACAAAAGTACCTACTCATTAATTAATTACGTGTTTATACATCGGAGTAGGCTGGCTATAATAAAAAAACAAAAGAATACCAGAAAGTAAACAAGTGTCAAAAATTAGATAATTATTTGCTGCAAGTATACTTTTGATATAAAATAAGATTAATTAAAAAGGCGAATTTCGAACAAATGAACTAATTTCTTTAGATAAATACGGAGAGCCGCAACTTTATAGGTATCAAAAGAGCCGCAGGTTGCCGACCCCTGATAGCCCAGGCATTTTAGGTTTTGACCCTACGAAAAATAACGTAAATCTGAAAGTTGGCACAGTTGTTCTATTTGATGCTCTGAACAACATATAAAAAGTCCCAAGAGTTCCCATGTCGGCTTCCTTGAAGTTCGGGCTTTCGAAAGTCCGAACTCTTGAAATCTGCACGACGCCACTATAATTATAACCTAGCGGACGAACGGAACAAGTCCCAGAGTCGCGGGAGGGCTTAAATTAAAGGTTAGTAACCAGGCTATCTTTTGATATTTTTTGCAAGTGCCAGTGACAACTTCCGGCCAGACAGGAAGTGGAAAAAGACCGCGAAACTTGACAAAAAAATCGGTTTTTGTTTTTTGTTTGGACATAGGTGCGGTTTAGCGTCCGATATCGGAAAAATGACCAAAACAAATGTTGTAGAGCGTAGTTTTAACTTTAAAACCGTACCCTTTGCGTTGAAATCCGACCAATAGGAGGGGAGCTACAAACCGTTAAGTGCGATCCCACGCGCCGCTCGCCGTTGCGCGACTTGCCTGAGAGGTGCACCAGATCGACCAGATACGGTTGGCTTAATAGCGGCGCATCTCTGACTTATTTGTATTTTGACTGTGAGCGTTTTAGACTTTTGGGATGTGTTTAGTGCGTAAATTTTGAGGGAAACT